CAACAGTTGGTCTCTGTAGCTCAGTTGTTAGAGCGCTTCACCGGAATCGCAGGGCTGTAGGTTCAATTCCTACCAGAGGATCTTGTGCTGCATTTTTCGCAGTCGTTCCTGGTTAGGTCTTAAAATTGTATATATACTCACTTGGATTACAAACCTTAACATTCTAATATTAATTCCACCAAGTGAATTGCAAGAATCCAAATCATTGAAGTCCAATAATAATATAACCGTTTTTAATTAACGTACATTGCAAATACAACATCATAATTAAAGCTTATGTAAGTCAACATGATTCTGTATCCCATATACAAACTCGTTCACGCCCATAATTCTGTTTTCTTTATTAATTATTAAGTTTTTTAACAAATTATTATATAGTATCACTACTTCGCAGTGACAGTTTATAAGAGCATATGCCTTACTTGAGAATCGTTAAAAATTGAATTTTACTCTCCCCTCAAAGGCCCTCTAATGTCACAAAGCCAATGATAGATCACATCGCTTTATAAACGGATAAACATAATTATTTCAGACTTTAAGCCGCAAAGAAAGATGACTACAGGCGAGATAAATGCAGTTATTACCTTGAAGTGTGAAACCTGTATCTTTTCCAGACACGCAAACGCTTATAAGCATGTTTATTTATGTGGATATATACCATCCGTCCGTCCACATTTTACCTTCTCATCCGTCCTTCTGTATTTACTGTACCCTCTCATTCGCCCGCCCGCATTGTACCCTCCCATCTGTCCATCCGTCTGCCGTCTATACGTCTGCATCCGCGTTTTACCCTAATCCCTTGGAGGAAGTACATTTACTTCCATAAATAGATGTTTATAAGGAATTGGTTATTGAATAAATATTCTTTTGTAATTTACTGTTGACACATGCAAGTTCTGTACAATATGAAATCATTTTAAATTAAGGTAACCCACGTTCAAGAACATATATGATCTAACCATGCATGTCAGCGAGCACATGCTTTAATGATGTTTAATTTATCAGTGAGTTATGCATAACATTAGCCCCCTCATGAATAAACGCCTTTCGGACCACTTTTTAAAGTAGCCCACATTCAAAAACATCTTACACCTCTGCATGATCTAAACATATTTCAAAATCGATATCCCCATCATCAAATGAATCTGATAAATCATATCCGATTGTCACAATATAGTACTGAGCGAAGGTGACATGCAAGCACGCAAACATCTTTAACCTTGGCATTTGCCTTTTCACAACTCTTCATCCATGTAATTATATTAAATATGGTAACTCCTTTGATAAATATTTGGCACTTTTTATACATCTTTTGCACTTTGTGCCAGAAATATAGAACTTAAAATAACTTTGATCTGTCATATCGAAAACGACCACGTGCACGTTTCTACCTTAATTAACTAGTAAATAATACAAAATAAAATCATCGACTGACTACTTAGATTTGTACGAATTAATTTTAACTGACAAGTCAAGTCTCTTCACTCGTCCGACAATTAACTGACAATTGGTAAAAGAGCAATTGGAACTTGCTTATCAGACAGCTTAAAACGATTAATCATTGATATGGAACTCGCATCTTACAGAATATCATAACTGATTGCATACAAACGATAAAACAATAATTTGGAACAGATATCTAAGTCATATCTTACAAAATAGTGTAACTGATCCTGATAGAGTGACATAGCCCACGCGTTGCCCCCTTAAAATTTTGACAACTTGCATGCACAGACCGCAACGTCAATTAAGATCTTCTTTATCTTGAATGAATATCTATACACTGTTAATTTGTCATCGACTAATTTGTAATTGATTTCCCAACTTGCTTGTAGAAGTATAGTCTGTTGACAGCCCGAAATTTCGTTCAAAAGACATCGGAAATTTAGCAACCCTAATTTTCCGTTTCAAATTTTCGGGTGGGGGCTGCGAGCTACCTATTGTTGAAGTTGACTTCAAGAAGAATTTAATTAACGAAGAATGATTGCTTTTTAAACCCAAATATTTTGATGGGAAATTGGGTAATGGTTTCATGAAATTTGATCGCCCTGACTATACGACACTTGTTTTGTTGGAAATAACTGACCTTGTCATGCATATAATGCTCAATTAATCGCCACTTGTATAATTACTTACTAAGTGCTTACTAAGCAATCATTCTCCGATACCGGAATAATCGCATCCAATTCAGAACTGATTGCGAGCTAAAAATTACAGTCGAAGTTTCCAGGTTTCTGCTGTTTCGCCAGGAGAGAAATATTTAGAGAATTTGGTCAACCTAGCTGTTTGTTTAATTATTTTACCCAACTGTGCTGCGCAATTATTGACGCATTTAATGCAGACATGATTTGTTCATGACCTTTAATAGGATAATCATGCATTAATCTGCGTAACATGAAACGGTTAATTCCGAAAGCTTGGTTTCCATTTAGGCATGGTGGCAAAATGAGTCACGATTTCTTCCGCGGCCAGTTTATAATAGTGTTTATACCTGTAAACCACATTCAAGTAAAAGCCATCCCTTATTTATTCAGTCGGAAATCCTAAACTAAAATACTGTAACTGATTTTACTGGATATAGCTCTATCAGTTCTAAACTGTTTATATTCCTAGAGGTACAGTTTAAGGCAATCGTTTTGGTCTGGTGTTACGTACACGAGGCACGAGCGAGGCGTCAAACACGACTGCATACTGGTAGCGTTCCGGAAGAGTGTATTTCACTATAGTTTCATGTGAGAGAACTTTAAGGCCAGTTTTCTTAATTCGGCTATAATATTGCTCCAATAAGAGATGACCTTTACTGGACCTCTATAAGAAGAGCAGAACTATAATACCGTAGTATAAAGAGAGATATATTTAGAAATAAAATCTTCTATAAATAAAGTTCACTTATCTCATCTATTGTTTAATCGTGCACGATCTCAGGATCGCCCTTTACATTTACGAAACTCAAAATACAAATACAGTTAGACTAGAAACGACTATTTATACTCTTAAATGATAGCTAGGAAACGATTATATTGCATGATGTATGAAAATAAGGAGTTCCTAAATTATATCAATGGAACTACAATGAATTCATTTCAGGTGCTGCATTTCACTAATAATTCTCACGGCAGAAGATGTTGGTCATCTTTTAAGAAATGTTGATATTTATAAGCGTAACAATTAAGGTCAAACTACATCTCAATTGTATAAATGCTAACGCTACATATTAGGAATGACTGAGAAAGAATGAACATTAGTCATTACAGTATCTTTCCTCTTTGATAACTCGAGGTTGACAACCTATAGACTGGTGCGCGAAATTCTTCGCGAGAAGAATTTGGTTTGTTTTGTTACGGTTGGTTGCATCATATTCTATATTTTAGTTGCCCCGTATTGGGGCTATGTGGGTGTTACCTATTTATATGACAGAGTTTGTCAATAAATAAAATAACTATTGGCCATGATATTCCCAGGTTTTTTTTTCTTTTCCGTTACAGATTTCCCGCGTTTATCCGAGACAAAGCGTCCGTGGAATTAGGACTTTAGCGAAACCCATAAATTAAATAAATTTGTCTGCTTCCACTATATTACCTTTGACGATGCATGCAATTAAATTAATCACTCATATAATTATTGATTTAATCACTTCTCGGCCACGTGCAGGGAGCAGGATTATGTTTTCTTGGTTTCGACTCTATATGGTGAATTTTTTAAACGTTTGAATTAGCAAGCGTTTAATTAAAGTTGTCCTTCAGCGGCATATTAGATAAGTATGTTCGGGATTGGTTCGAATGAGGCCAATTAAGCTGCGGCTACTAAGCTTTCGATCGTCGTCAACGATGATGTCGTCTCTGATGATGTCGTTGACGACAAAAACTTAGATACTAATAGACAATAAAGACCTTTTTTAAAGTGTTTTTAAAATCTATTTTAAACAGCCGCAGCTTTGGCCTCATTCGAACCAACCCCGAACATACTTTTTTGACTCAGGCTCTAATTCTCGTTAACCAATTCAGACAATTAAAACAACGTGAAAAGCAATTTTTCAAAATAAATTAACCACTTACAAAGCAAAATTAATTTACCATCACTCGTCAAAAAGTATAAAAAGTCTCTGTTATGCGGACTTATCTCGCAGACTTCGGCCGAAAAGCCACCCAAAAATGGAGGCGTGAGAAAGGCTAATTAACCTTGACCGCTCATACAGTATGCATGCATAATCCGGTGATTAATAGTCTAGTAGCTTTGTTTCCTGTGTGTACCCGATGTCTTACGGCGAAAAAAGTACCATTCTCGATTACAACAAAAATGCGGTAATTGTAATAATTAAGGGGGCAAATGTTTGTTAACAAGGTTTCGAAATTATATTATTTCGTGGTTATATAAGCGCGAAGCCTGTGAGTTTGAAAGTCAGTGCTGACCTGGACGTAAAGAGACAAGGACATATTCTCAAGTCATTCCTGTTTACAAGTATGGGTAGGTGTACATTTAACTTATTTTTAAAATCTTTTTCATGTATCTTGATTCTAATTTGATTCATTAAGTCGACTATTCGTTCATTTATTCACTCAAACAAATATAATTATATGATTCAATAAGAGTGGTATTGCTATCATTTTCCTAATCTTCACAATATCTGCCAAGTTGTATTAGGATAAGTTGGTTTTTACGAAGAAATGAACTTTATGTATAGTAATTTTTTCTGGTAGTTTTGTCGGAGACTGTCTATATATATCTTAATATTTGTGATTTAATAGCAGGATTAATTATTACTTTAATTAGGGACGAACATTGCATGATTGACACATTTATATTATTATGAAGAGGAGTTAAAAGATAGGAATGTAGTGACTGTGTGACTGTGAGAGAGACTAGACCACGTATACAACTGTGAGTGATTTTCAATAATATAATTTTATAAAACCGAATTTGCTTCGTCGAGAGTTTGATTGTTCAATACCTTTTAGTAAGGGTCAATTTACTAAACCTGGCACCTCCGACGGGATCGTGAAATGAGTGAGACAAACGCCAGCACCACGCTGGAAACAAAATTATTTCAATTGCAACTAACGACGAAGCGCACGGACGGAATTCTTGCAAAATCCGAAGAAGAGCCTATTGCTCGACATCAGGGAACACTCAGAACTGTTATTGGCGAAGTGGAAAATCTAAGGCTTACGGTTGAAGCTGAAAAACTGGGCAGAAAAGAGGATACTACCGAGTGGAGCGAGGAGATTGATACCAAAATCAGCGAGGCAGATAGTCATGTAAGACTGACGAAGGAATGGTTGGCGGAAAACAAGAGGAAACTAGAGGAGATGGAGAACGACGAGAAGATCAAGTTTGAGGTAAAACTGCATGAAACTAAAGTAAAGTTACAAGATGAACATATTCTTAAAAACACCTCGCAGACCAGTAAAACTATGATTGGAATGCAAGCGAAATTACCGAAGCTAGTGATTTCGAAATTTAATGGTTCTCCTATGGATTGGCCAAGGTTTTGGGGACAATTCTCAGAGAACATTGATCAATCCGCAATTGCCCCGGTGACTAAGTTTTCTTATCTTCGCGAGTTGTTAGAGCCTAAAGCACGACAAACAATCGAAGCATTGCCCTTCCACAGCGAAGGGTACAATCGAGCGATAAGCATCCTGAAGGATAAGTTTGGGAAAGAATCCGAGATAGTAAAGGGTTACACGCGCGAGATACTTGGGTTGCCCACAATACAAGCGGCCAATCAGAAAAAGATTCATGAGTTTAGCGACAAATTGTCGTACTGCGTTCAAGCTTTAGAGACATTGGACAAGCTTGACGGGGTCAATGGCGCCGTGCCAATGACTCTTGATAAACTGCCTAGCATTCGTGGAGATTTGGTGCGAACGGACCCTGAATGGGAGAAATGGACCTTCACCAAACTAGTTGAAGCGCTCAAAGAGTGGTGTCGAAGAAATCCAATCGACAAACCATCTGAACTAAACGACGACTCGTTTAGCAGCAAGAGAAGAGACAAGCTGTTTCATGTCTCTCGTCAGAGATTAAATCCACGTAATTGCGTTTATTGCGATAGCGGCGAACACAAAACAAACGATTGCGCAAAAGTAACTCTGACGTCAGCCCGTAAACAGATACTAGCCAAGAAACGATTATGTTTTAATTGCGCCGCGGGCAATCATAAAGCCTCTGAGTGTCCGAGTAAAGCCACTTGTAGGAAGTGCGAAAAGAGACATCACACGTCTATTTGTGATTCTCACGACAACAAGGCCGGTGGTCAAATTTCTGGCCAAAATTCAAACGCTGCCATGACTACATGCCAGAAAAGCGAAGCGGTGTTTCCAGTAGTCGTTGTAGAAGTCAATGGAATTCGATGTAGAGCGCTGATTGATTCGGGAGCTGGGAGCTCCTACGTGTCAGCAAAACTGATAGACTTACTCAAACTGAAACCATCACAATCCCAGATTAAAAACATTGACATGTTAATGGCCTCTAAGACGTCCAAACTCGAGATTTACGATATGAAATTTGACTCGCTAGACGGCTCGTTTAGTCTTCCCGTAAGAGCTACAAAGGTAAACAAGAGTGAACTTTTGTTGATCGACAATCCCAAATACCCCAAATTAATCAATCAACACCCCCACTTAACGGGCGTGACAATGAACGACGATGACGTCAAAGATACCCTGCCTGTCCATGTCATTTTGGGGAGTGGGGAGTATGCGAAGATTAAAACGCAAACAAGACCGAGAATAGGAGACGAGAAAGCCCCTATCGCCGAGTTGACCAAGTTTAGTTGGTTTCTAATGGGCCCTGGGTACGAGTTCGAAAGCAACGTGATGTTGATGACCCAGACCTCCCACGCCGAGTACGAGGAATTGTGTAGACTGGACGTTTTAGGGCTCGAAGATACCCCCCAACATGACCAGACGGTGGTATTTAGCGAGTTTAAGGAACAGTTGACCCGATCTCCCGAGGGATGGTACGAGACCGCGTTACCTTGGAAACCAAACCATCCCTATCTTCCAAACAATGAACGTGGTAGCCTGAAGCGACTCGGAGGTTTGACTAAAAGACTTCAACGCGAAAACTTGATGGAGAAGTACGACGGCATTATACAAGAACAACTCGCTGAGGGGGTCATCGAAAGAGTTCCACCCCTCGTGGTGACCGGAAGTGACTCCATTCCACCTCCCGTGGTGACCGGAAGTGACCCTATTTCACCTTCCGTGGTGACCGGAAGTGACTCCATTCCACCTCCCGTGGTGACCGGAAGTGACTCTATTCCACCTCCCGTGGTGACCGGAAGTGACCCTATTCCACCTCCCGTGGTGACCGGAAGCAACCCTATTCCACCTCCCGTGGTGACCGGAAGTGACTCCATTCCACCTCCCGTGGTGACCGGAAGTGACCCTATTCCACCTCCCGTGGTGACCGGAAGTGACTCCATTCCACCTCCCGTGGTGACCGGAAGTGACCCTATTCCACCTCCCGTGGTGACCGGAAGTGACTCCATTCCACCTCCCGTGGTAACCGGAAGTGACCCTATTCCACCTCCCGTGGTGACCGGAAGTGACCATATTCCACCTCCCGTGGTGACCGGAAGTGACTCCATTCCACCTCCCGTGGTGACCGGAAGTGACCCTATTCCACCTCCCGTGGTGACCGGAAGTGACTCCATTCCACCTCCCGTGGTAACCGGAAGTGACCCTATTCCACCTCCCGTGGTGACCGGAAGTGACCATATTCCACCTCCCGTGGTGACCGGAAGTGACTCCATTCCACCTCCCGTGGTGACCGGAAGTGACCATATTCCACCTCCCGTGGTGACCGGAAGCGACCCTATTCCACCCCCCGTGGTGACCGGAAGTGACCTAGTTCCACCCCCCACTGTGAGCGGAAGCAACGCAAAGGAATTCTACATTCCACACAGATACGTAGTCAGAGAATCAGCCCAGACGACCAAAATGAGGATTGTATATGACGCCTCGGCCCGAGAATCACCCGAAGCTCCATCCCTGAACGATTGCCTCTATGCAGGACCAGCCTTACAGAACAAGTTATGGAACGTTCTGGTACAACAGAGAGCATTTCCTGTGATAATTTCGGGTGACATCAAACAAGCCTTCCTACAGGTTCGAGTCCGACAATGTGAGAGAAATGCGCTCCGATTCCATTGGAGATCCCATGCTGACGCAGAGATCCTAACCTATCGTTTTACGCGAGTGTTATTCGGCCTTGCGCCTTCGCCATTTCTACTTGGGGGAGTCCTCGAATGTCACCTCGACTTGTGGTCCCAGAAATATCCGGAAGACGTGGAGCGAATACGTCGCAGTTTATACGTCGACGATATTTTGTCTGGTGGTCAAGACACAACAGAGGCGAAACAACGGAAAACCACTGCAATCGAAATTATGGACGATGCAAAGTTCAAATTACACAAATGGAACTCCAACGTGCCAGAGTTAGAAGACATCAACGACGAAATCTGTGACGAACAGTCGTTTGCAAAACAACAATTGCAAGTCAAGCCGAGTGAGTCAAAGTTGTTGGGCCTCAAATGGGACAAGACCACGGATACCATCTCAGTGGAATTCCCTGCCCGTACGCCAGCAACCACCAAGCGTGAACTCCTCGCAAGTTTAGCAAGGATCTACGACCCGCTAGGTCTAGTATCACCGATAACGTTGCAAGGCAAACTCGTGTTTCGCGACGTATGCGACTCCAGGATCGGATGGGATTCCAATCTCCCAGACAACCTTAAAAAACGATGGCTGAAGTTCGAGAAGTCCCTTCCCGAACGAATAAGTATCCCAAGACCACTCGCGCCATACCATCAACCAGTCGATTCAGCCGAGTTGCACGTATTTGGAGATGCATCAACTGAGGGAGTAGGCACGGTCGTCTACTCTGTGGTCCGCCAGGCCGAAGGAGTTACAACTTCCCTCGTTGCGGCGAAGTCCCGATTGGCGAAGAAGAATCTGACGGTGCCGAGATTAGAGTTGGTCAGTGCTCATATGTCAGCAAATATCGTGACAAACGCAAAGAATGCCCTGATAGAGCTTCCCACACCAGAGATATTTGGTTGGTTAGACAGCACCGTTGCACTTCACTGGCTTCTCGGTAACGGTCAGTACAAACAGTTCGTCGCGAATCGCGTGAGAAAGATACAACAACATACTGAGATCCAGTGGAGGTACGTGCCTACCGAAAAGAATCCGGCAGACATCGCGAGCCGTGGAGGACATATTGCTAACAGTACGTGGTTGACTGGCCCTGAATGGCTCGCTGATCGTGATCGCTGGCCAGAAAATCGAGTAGCGGAGAAATCACCTGCCTCGGAGGTCGAAGCGAAAGTCATGAAGGAAGTGCTCAGCCTCGCACAAGAACAAGAACAAGATAAAGATTCTGAGAACGACCCCTTCGAGAACCTCCTCCAACGTCACGATCTGCTTCGCGCACTCCGAATTCTAGCCTGGGTACGCCGCTTTACGACAAACCGTCATCGTAGAGGGCCCCTGACGTCCGATGACGTAAGAGAAGTTCGGGACTGGTGGACAAAACGAGAGCAAGCGAAAGATTCCCTAAGACCCCACTTCGAGCATACGAAACAGTCCCTTAACCTCGTCATGAATCAACACGGGATTCTCGAATGCCGCGGAAGAATCCAGGGACATTATCCTATATACCTCCCAGCCGACTCTGAGTTCACTAAAAAACTAGTGCAGAGATACCACGTGGAAACACTACACGGTGGGGTGCTGTTGACGATGGCAGCAGTGCGTGAGATCTATTGGGTCCCGACGTTAAGACGACTAGTGAAAGCTGTTCGTGCAAAGTGCTATGGCTGTAAGCGATTTACAGCGACGCCGATCGTAAAACCAATTCCAGGAAAGCTGCCTAAAGATCGTACCACTGGCGGGGTAGCGTTCGAAGTGATAGGTACGGACTTCGCGGGCCCTATACGCTATAAGTGCTCCAACAAACGCGAAAGGAAGAGCTACTTAGTCATATTCTCGTGTAGTTTGTCGAGGGCAGTCCATCTCGAACTGATAAAGAACCTCGAAACGACATCATTTATCCCGTGTCTGAAACGATTGATCGCACGACGCGGGCGTCCGAGAATCATCTACTCTGACAATGGGGCTACGTTCGTCAAGGCCTCCAAGTGGTTGAAGCAAATCAGGAACGACGAACGTGTGCAAGGCCTTCTGCAACAATACGACGTGTCGTGGAAATTCAATCTGAGCAGAGCCCCGTGGTGGGGTGGTCAGTTCGAGCGATTGATCGGAGTGGTAAAGAGTGCTATGTACAAGGTGATCGGTGGGGCGAAGCTGACGTGGTCGGAATTGAACGACGTACTGCTAGATGTAGAAATCCAAGTGAATCGACGTCCACTAAGCTACATGGAAGATGACGTAGAACTTCCAACCCTAACCCCTTCCACATTTCTATTTCAACGAGCTAATGAATTACCCGAAAGTGAACCATGGCGGATCGAAGACCAAGACCTACGGAAACGAGCGAAGTATCTAACAACGTGCAAGAATAGCTTGTGGAAGAGATGGCGACGCGAGTACATGACAGCGCTGAGAGAACGTCACAGCCTCGTCCATAAGACTCAGAAATATAAAGTTAAAGAAGGGGACGCAGTGATCGTGAAGACAGACGATAAGAATCGAGGGAAATGGCCACTAGCTATAGTGGAGAAGTTATTCCCAGGACCAGATGGTCGGACGCGAGCTGTTCAGCTCAGGACGAAAAATGGCGAGATAGAAAGACCCGTTCAGCATCTCTATCCCCTAGAACTCCAGTGCGACACAAAAGGGAACGCGAACGAAGGCAGAGTCCAACTGAACCCCGGAGCCCGAGCGTTCGTACCGAAAAGAGCTGCCGCAGCAGATGCACGAGCAAAAATAACCGCCATAGCAGAAGATCAAGAAGAAGATATGTGAACACTATATAATATTTACACATTAACACTAGATTCATTTTCAAGTTTTGTTTTCCACGAACACGATAGTTTAGAAGCGCAGTCTCCTTAGGGAACATACAATTTAGCTCCTAACTTGCATGGGGGAGTGTGTCGGAGACTGTCTATATATATCTTAATATTTGTGATTTAATAGCAGGATTAATTATTACTTTAATTAGGGACGAACATTGCATGATTGACACATTTATATTATTATGAAGAGGAGTTAAAAGATAGGAATGTAGTGACTGTGTGACTGTGAGAGAGACTAGACCACGTATACAACTGTGAGTGATTTTCAATAATATAATTTTATAAAACCGAATTTGCTTCGTCGAGAGTTTGATTGTTCAATACCTTTTAGTAAGGGTCAATTTACTAAATATATATATATATATATATATATATATATATATATATATATATATATATATATATATATATATATTAAAAGCTTCTACAGGCAATAAAAAATTTAAAAATTTTGTCCCAACGTTTCGCCGGTTAAGGCTTCTTCAGGGGAATGTTATAACTAGATCACGTCCGTTGAATATATACTACAAAGCTAGACTAAATTTAAATAAAAAGGGTGGAATGTGGACAATAACGAGCTAAAATTTAAAATGTTGTTATTCAGGCGTATCATGCAGAATATATATTTAAATGTCAATTGTTCTACCAATGCATCCGTTTATTACGTTCCCCGCTCTTTTCTTAATTTCAAACGCCTCAATGCACTTACGCTCATCATCATTGTTTATGTTGGAATGTAGGATTCTCCAAGTTATGGTTGGCATGTCATCTTCGTTACTCCTGTGGGATTCAATATGTTTGTACATGGTTTGCTTATTCATGGTCAAATGTTCTTTAATGCGCGTGCCAATTGTCCTACCAGTTTCACCAATATAAACTTTATTGCAATGCAGGCATTCAATTTCGTATACAACGCTCTTATTGTGGCAACGATTTGGTTTCTTTCCCGATTTGCAAGTCTCGCAATTATTAGGGCAACTCATTGTTTCTTTCCGTGGGGCAAACCTCTGTGATGACGACTTCCCGTTCAGAAAATGGATTTTGATATTATTTAGTCCCGATCGACGGACTACAGCAAGAGAGCGTCGTTTAAACTCCTCGTTAATATAGGGTAGCTTCATATAAATGCAATTTTCCTGATCGTTAATTCTCGGTTGATTGTGTAATACACGTTGAATGGAAGCTCTAACAAATGATTTGGGGTAGCCATTTCTAGCAAACACTTGGGTTAGTTTACGCAAGGATTCTTTTCGATTATTATCATCTGTTGAACGAGAAACGGCACGGTTTATTTCGCCGATTAAAATAGCTCGTTTAGATGCGAGGGATCCGTGACTGTCCCATGGAACGATGCAATTGCTGTGAATAGGTTTTATGTACAGCTGGGTGGAAAAGTTATTCGTTTCAGGGTTGAATGTAACCATAGTATCTAGAAATGGCAATTGCCCTTCGTTTGGTAATTCGATAGTAAATTTAATGGCTTCATTTATGCTATTAGCAATCGTCAGGAGTCTATCTCCAGTTATTTGTCTCGATAACATAAATACAAAATAATCATCAATGTAACGTTTCAATATAACTAGGCCATTAGTTATGGTGGTAATTTGCTGATCAATTTCATTCATGTATATTATTGCAA